CGCTTGCTCAAGACGGATTAGCGGATTCTAACTAATGATTTGAAATATCATGATGTTTAACTTCACTGTACCTATGTATGTATGTCTGTGGTATCTGAAACATCTTAGAAAGTACATAATTACAAATCTGAAAAGAATAAATCACTTTGGTATTTGCCAGGTTTCGGACCAACGGACGAAACGGGCGAAAAACGGACACCGTTACCTTCGGCACGGTGAGTCGGTGATATATGATATTATCACCGTGCCTTCGAGCCCACATGACTTGCTACTTTGTTTACATGGTTTCATTTACATATTCAATTAAATACTTTATTAAAAGTATTGTAACAAAGATATTATAGAGCTTTATTTATTTACTTCGTTTTTCTTATGATAGTCATTAAATCCAATTAAGGAAATAGCTTGATTATCTATGACTTTTTGGAGTTAATTACGTATTAAAATTGAAATTAATATCCCCTAATTTGTGGTCGTATGATATTTTTATTAAAATGTAAATAATTTTAAATTAGTGATAGAATTCTGCCCACTCTCTTTGGCAATACCATCGACTATCAAAATAAGAAAAATTAACAACAATAATTATACTAAACTATTTAGAACAAACAAAAAATGAAATCTAATCCGAATTCCGACCCTTAACAATGTGGGATGACCAATCATAAAAACTTATTTTATTTATTTATCTGTTAACACAATTAGGCGGGATATAATGTTACTGGCTGCTAACGAGTTGCCTACTTTATATTTACGATATTAGATGGCCCTTGAGGCAACGGCGATGAAACGAGGTTGTGAATTGGCTGTATGGTGCATCGTCTGTGCCTTACAAATGAACTCAATTTAAAATGTTTCGGGATAGATAATAAATAGTTATGGCTTACGGGCGACGCGAGTTTAAGTGGAAATTATTACGTTTACTTGAATAAAAAATCATTTATAATAAATGCTATTTCATAATACAGTGTCCAAATATGCATAAAATAATATTTAAACACGAGAATTTGAATTTTATACAATTTAAAAAATAAACAGAATATAAAATAGAAAATGTATATTTTCAATTTCATTTCGTTTTGATGTCTTGTTTTGATAGCAGAAAGGTTATTTATAATATAACCGCTTCTTTTGTCAAAAAGAAATAAATATGTGGCTCGGCTTATGTTAATAAAAAGAATATAGGTATTATTTTATAACTAATATCGTTTATCGTTATGATACTCCGAGAAATATTTTTAAGCCATAGGTACCTAGGTTACACGAATAGTCACACCAGTATTGGAGTTACAAATGCGTTGTCATCCATTGAAAGAAAGGTGAAAAAAAAATAGGACACAATAAATCTGTCGGTATATAGTTCTTTCTTGACGATAGTACCTTTATAAGTAAGTACCTAGGTACCTTCCAATGATGCTTGCTCTGAACTTTGACCTCTGTTCTGTAGGGTCACAATCACAAATCTTGGACATGTTTCCATTCTCCCATATACAGCGGGTTACAATAAATTATTACCTCTGTTTATCCGACTGCTTCAAATGAGAGTAATTTATTTCGAATTTTCTTTGTATAGATAAACAAGTATGGGGTGTTTGTCTGTATTAAGGCTTGATACGTCTGTATAATTTTTGAATTGCCATTGATCAACAATCTCTTATTTCTATCTAAGTAACAATCGATATTGCACCGAGTCTCAATTTCAAAATAAAACAGGGTATGGAGACAATAACAATAAAACAAATTAACATCCATCTTAGGAGGCTGGCATTAGGCGGATGGATCAACGACTTGATACAGTAGGCAGTTCTCCTAGAAACGACACGTATCGTGAGGAGATTTCTGTCTCTAGAGCCCTAACCACCGGTAGCTTGGACCATGCTCCCGCTAGGTACTGGTCGATTCCTATTTTTTAATTTTTAAATACATTTTTTTTAAGTAGTAGGTATTTAAAAATGTAATTGATAGAGAATTTTAAATTAATACATGGATATTAAACAAATTATTTATTTGTTTTAAACTAAATTTAAGTAAAATGAATTTCCTTGGAGAACTGAGAACACCCCATACAAATCGTTATTGTAAATAGTGATTTGTTAAATTCTATTGTGTGATAGGAGCGAGGAAGATGGCGGGAGGACGACCAGCGACAAGCGATCAATTCATCATCACACAACGAGCGACACTTTGTCCATGACTTAGGCAAAAGTAATCATTTCATTAATGCCGTGGTGGCCCGGAGGTTTAAGACGCCCACTTCTCATGCATGAGGGTGCGGGTTCGAAACCTACCAACGGCAAGTACCAATGTGACTTTTTCCGAGTTATACGTACTTTCTAAGATTATTTAGACACCACTGACAAACGGTGAAGGAAAAACATCGTGAGGAAACCTGAACTTATAATTTCTAATTATAAGTTTGAAATCGCCAACCCGCATTGAGCAAGCGTGGTGATTAATGCTCTAACCTTCCCCTTGTGAGAAGAGGCTTTGCTCAGCAGTGGGCATTTATAGCCTATTAATAAATTTTATTTTTAGATCTTTAGTTGGGCCCTAAGTAGGTGGTCTGTAATTATTATTTTTTTCACGTGATGGTGGTAGTTTTCGCTGACTGATGTCGCGTCGCCGCGCCTATTACAACATCGCGTTTGTTTGTCTGTATCGTCTGTATTAACGTAAGAAACTAAAAAAATACCAGACAGTTTTTCTTACGGTCTGTGGGCTGATTGCTGAAGAAGGTTTAACTCTTTCAGTCTTGGTGGTCACTGTAACTAACCACCTTTTCTTAGAAATTCAATTTTTGAAGTATGCTTCAAATTACTTTGCATTGGTTTTTAAGCATTTCAGTATAATTGAATAAAATATATTCGTAACCAGTTAAAAGTGTGACTGAAAGAGTTAAGTGTAAAAATTACGGTTTTGACCAGTCAGGCGAAACTGCAGGCGGAAAGCTAGTTGATGACATTTTAACATCACTTTATAAGTGTTTTGGGGGACAGACACAGTACCGTCTTTACCATAAGAGTACTCGATGCCCAGGCCCTCAGGGGACCTTGAAGGTCCCACAATTTCTACGACGCGCATACAATTTCGATTCGGACAATCGGACACGGTTCGATTCCCGCTTGAAGCAAATCTTTGTGTGCTTAACAAATTGTTCTTTCGGGTCTGGGTGTCATATGTATGTGAACGTGTATGTTTGTAAATGCACTTACGGTACAGGAGAAAATCCCAGTGTGGGGCAACGTTAAAAAAAAGAAAAGAACAATTTCCAAAAAGGCCCCGTGTTATTTTGTGCTCAAGGGCCCCAGAGAGCTCCGTCTAAGACGTCCCTTTTTTTTGAGGGGGGTAAATCATTCAATAGGTTTTTCCCGCCCGGGTGAGGCGAGAGGGAGTGTCAGATTCTTACTGATTAAAAACCACCCCGTTCCGCGGCTCCATATCGGCATCAGCCCTGTTGGGCCCCATCTGTCGTGGTCTGATGGCTCCTTGAGGCGTGCGCGGAACGCGACGCGCCGTACGCTCGGGCCTGGTTCTGGTAGGGCGGCGAGTCACCCATGCTCGCCGTCCGTAGGCCCGGGCTTACGGTGGCCGGAGATCGTCGCGCGAGTCTAAGACGGTCCTGTGCCTTTAGCCAAACGCCACTTTAGCGCTTGTCTACAGAGAGAGAGTAGAAATCAAAATGTATGGGGATGACACTGACAAGTGTCAAAATTTACGTCAATTCCATATAATATAATTTGGTTTTCTATTCTACAAGTACACAAGCGCTAAATGGTGTTTGGCTACAGCTGCTGGACAGACAGATAAATAATATTTTAAAGTAGTTAAATGATAACTAACTACTGTAGCACCCATGCAAAACCGGGGTATATCGGTAGTTATCTTCTAATGCAACTGTTTGATATTAATTATTTATTTTAATAAAATAAAGCACATTTTGAGGTCAACGTACCCGCACGTGTTAGTTCTGCCGGAGTCTAGGTGTTTGCAGTGTCAATAGCTGACGATGCAGTTGGCATCGCTTAACAATACGAAAACTGCTTATTGATTTTTGCCGTAGATACCAACTGCACTGTATGTCCAAACTTGAAGTATCAGGTTATCTATTTCTACTTACGTTTACATAACGAAAAGCCGTTTTTTTTATGGAATAGGAGGCAAACGAGCAGACAGATCACCTGATGGTAAGCGATCAGCGCCGCCCATGGACACCCGCAACACCAGAGGAGTCACAGGTGCGTTGCCGGCCTTTTAAAAAGGAATACGCTCTTTTCCGTTAACGAATAAGTAGGTTGAACATACCTTGACATTATTTAAAGCCATGCCTAAATATTTACTTAATATTTGATTTATTTGTTGATATATATTTAAGTTCAAAGGAATAAGCTCAGGTGCACAGTGGACTAATATCCAATAAAATAAGTGTATTTCGCTAATTATAAGTCCTATATTTGTAGCATAGGACAAGCCTATTGCGATAAACAGGGCACTCATAATTGTAAAATGCTACCTATTTAATACTCAGAATTTTCGAAAATCGAATTTTTTTCGAAGGTTTTCGAAAAAAAAAATTCTCGTCCAATTATGGGTAGGTATTGAATAGGGTTTCTTTATTAAACCAGCAAAATGATTGATCTCAAATATCGAATCATACTTATGATACCTCATATTTTCAGATATTTTCATGATATTGATCGTATCGGTGCTATTCAGCATTTTCAGGTTTTGTTACTTGCATTGCTATTTGAGTAGTACATACACCGCCATCTATCGATTGATGAAGTCAACAGTAGTAGTAGCAATGGACGAACTTGTGATTTAAATGGTATTTTAATAATATGAAATAGTAGCTTTAGTTATTAGATTGATTTAATTTTATGAATATTAATATATAAATATTTCATTTAAAAATGCAAGAAAAATGTTTAAAATATTCTATTTTCTTTATGGCAATTAATGATTACGAAATAGTTATTCGCCACTGGCAATCTTTTCACAAAATGTCCGACAGTAATAATCAAAAGTCAGATTCGGAACCTAGCAATAAAAAAATTAAAATTGACCATGAAAGTGGGAATAATGTGAGTGAAATTCATTTGCAATTAAAAGACTTTATATTGGAGAAGATTTTAAATAATAACACTAATAGAAAAACAGTGTGTGTGCTTGGAAAATTCAAAGACAAAAGTGGCGTGGCTTTGGTTATTTTAGAGAAAAATGCTTTCAAGGAAGAAGATTTGGACAATGAGGGCTACTTTTCCGTAGATACAGAGTTGAAAACGTTCTTCGAGAACGATATCTACGGGAACTACGAGTGTTTCCCTCGGTCCTCACTTAATGGTGAGTGACATTCTCAGAACTCAAGGTTTTTATTGTTTTCCACAGGTATTAGTCATCAGCTCGATTCAAGAGTATTTTTGGTCTAATTTCGTGACTCTCACATTTGATACCGTCTACATAGCATGTTAAAAACGTGTTATTTAATCGTATCAAACAATAGATGTTAAGAAATCGCCTTACGTCACGCAGTTGCACCATATGGTAGCTATTTTTTTTCGTCATTTAATAAAGCAGTCGCCTTTGAGTTAATTGGTTGTGACGATGCCCGTCTCACGGGCAGTCGGGTCAGATAAGGTACGATAACTAATAATTGCGTTTTTATCTTATTTTTCTTAAGAAAAATGTGGTTTTGCCTTTGTGTAAGGTGATTTTTAATGTTCATTGCTTGAGAAATGGTCATCTATTTAAAAAAAATAATGTTGTGCCTTGTATAGGAAGGAACCTTGCCTCCTTTCACTTGAGTTGACTACAGTTAAGTGGTAAAACATGAAATGTTATTACATAGTTGTATTTCTATTTACACCTGAATACATTTACCAGATGTTTTTTCTCAAAACATATTGTAATGTATTTACCTACAAAGAACATACTTATTATTATAATGTTTAGGTATGTGTTTGGTGCAGTAGCCAATAGAATACTCACATAGTGTTAAAACTATAAAGGTACTGGTACAAGTGCTCTTAAACAGCATACTAAAAGGCAATTAAGTATGCTCAAAAATTAAAAAAATAGAACACCTGTCAAGCATGCCCGAAATTATCATGTTGATTATAAGCAACATTCACACACATGCTCCTAAGTGACTTGTTGTCAATTGATGCATGATTCCATGCTTGAAATTAGCATGTGTAACAATACCTTAATTTCAAAGTGGAAACGAAATAGAAAGAAAATGTATTCTTAAATTAAATATTCAGTGAGGTCTTCTGTCTGTATGGTCTGGATTAATTTCATAGTGACTGTCCCTGAGTGAAAATATCACCAGCCCGTATCAAGTTTGAAGTCGTGTAACTTATATACTTAGGAATCCTCCTCCTTTATTTTGCTTTCCTGGCATCCGTACTAGATTGTAATTTGTTCGCAGCGAGATGGAAGGATGTATGTCGTGAATGTGTAAGATTTTGTGAGAAGATGGACGGCTGATGAATTAGTTTTCAGTAATTATAATTATTGTACTTTTTATATAAGATACCTATTACATAAGTGTGAAATAGTAAATAAGTAACATTTTTTATTGTTTAACTGTATAATGTTTTGGCTTGTGCTGTAAAATCATACATGTGCTTATAAATAAATTATATAAATTATAATTTTGAAGTAGGTTAAATAGCCATGATACTTCTCAGTTTGACCTGTATGTTTGTGTGCAAATATCTTGTGATTGGCTGAACTGATTTTGATGCAATTTTCAGAAAAGTGTGAGGTTTTAGTGTATAACCAACTTTAAAGAACAGTTGAAAAATTTTTTTAAACATAGTTCATAAAAGAAATATTTAAATACTTTATTTATCATTCCAGCTTTCCATAGTCACCCTCCTTTTCTACCATAAGTAATGTGATCATTAAGGCAGTAATATGGGGGTTGTCTGGAATGTTTTCTGGAAATATTGAAAATTGGTAGTATGGTAGATTTTGATGTGCTATTTCATATTTTCTATTTTACAACTTTCAAAAAATGCATGTAATAAGACTGCAAAATGCACAGACAGATATATTTGAAAAACCTGCCATTTTTCCAAGATAGAGGCGCAAGCAGCATAGGTTAAATTTCAAAATTGTATTTGGTAGCAAAATATAAAATTAGCAAATCAAAATCTACAAAATATACACTCCCGGAGAACATTCAACTACCCAATTACTGAAGTAAATTCTCGAAATCAATGTTTTTTTAATCCATATTTCTTTCTCATTCCAGGTATAAAGACATCCATAATATACCCTGCTACAGAGAAGCATATTGCCAAGTTCAGCCAACAGGAGCGTCATATCGTGCTGGAAACTCCCGAGCTGTACCAGAAGCTCACACTACCTCATTTGGAGAAAGAGCAGTTTAATTTGCAGGTAATTGAATAACATTCAGTATTTTTGTTTTTTAATATTTTGCCCCACACTAGTATTTTCTCCTGGGTCGTGGTTGCGTTTACAAACATACAAATTCACATACACGTGACATCCAGACCCGGAACAACAATCTGTGGATCACACAAAGAGTTGTTCCGTACGGGAATCGAAACCGCGACACGATGTGCGGCAGTCAGTTGCCCAACCACCGCGCCAACCGGGCAGTCGAATTGGATGAAGTCTGGAATTTTGTTTAGTGTTGTGTATGACATTAGGCTCATCTCCTATTAAATGGGACTTAGAACATAGAACATATATCAAGTAGGTGTTAGTTTTTTATGTTGAGCTCTACTTTCTGATCTCTCTGACAGTTTATAAGCAAATAATCACTATTGAGATCTTTGTTCATCAGTTTAAAAAAAATGTGTACACTTATCTGGTATTATGGTGGTATAAAATAAATAAAACATTTATGCCAGGGAGCTTTGAAAATTATAGAAATAATTTTAATAATTAACTAAAATCGCGGGTTACTAACGTGAATGTACTGAGAAAAGCTCTACTAGTTTCGAACTACAGAGGGGTTCTTCCTCATGAGCAACGTGCGCGGTCGCGGCGACGTCGCGCAGCTCACTGTCAATATTTTCATATTTTATTGACCCTATTGTTTACAGTTAATAAAGTGTAATTAAAATTATCACGAATTTATACAAATAAAATTATCATCGTACAACAAGACAATCGGTGAAGTGTCACCGGTTCATGGTGGATGTCACTCACAAAGAGCAAAGATATAATATGAAGCGCTTGTTTCCATACTGCTAAGAAGTGGAAATCTTTGCCACAATCTTTATTTCCTGAAGGATGTAATCTGGCTGTCTTCAATGTCGGAGTGGTTAGGTTGCTTATGGTTAGATATGCTCCATGGGAGGCTGCAACATAGCTTACCACCAAGCGAGATAGTAACCAATGTCAACCCATCAAATATATAAGATAATAATATATCAGTCCAGTTAAATAACAGTTGATTCTATACTCATTTAAGTCTGTTGTGTATACTTAACACGTTAATTTATGTTATTGCTATTGCCATATACCGGTCATAGACTCTGTGCTACAACTGAGATTTTAAAAAAAGTAATACTTTGCCCGACCCGGGAATCGAACCGGAGACCCCTTGTCAGTCACACTTACAACCACTCGGCCAATGAGCTAGTTAATAAACAAATCTATTTGTTTATAGTAAGAATATTGATTGAATGAACAAAGTAGTCTAACAATAATTGTTTGAATCCATTGTGCTTTGATTTGATTCATAAAACAAGCAGATGGAGCTGTGTTCTATAATAGGTGCATGTGTGATGATAATATTATATTTTCTATGATATAAAATAGGAACATAAAATCTGTAATCTTACTACATCACTACATAGTATAAAACAAAGTCGCTATCCGCCGTCTGTCTGTCCCTATGTATGCTTAGATCTGTGAAACTACGCAACGGATTTTGATGCGGTTTGTTTTAATAGATAGAGTGATTCTTAAGAAAGGTTTATATGTATATAATACATGCATATTGCACCCGTGCGAAGCCGGGGCGGGTCGCTAGTAATATTATAAATCCGAAAGTTTGTGTGTTTGTGTGTATGTTTGTTACTCAATCACGCCAAAACGTCTGAAGGCTACTTTTTATACCATGGGAACGCGAGCAAAAGCCGAAGTAGGTCAAGTTTGGCATCCTCTTATAAAACAAGTAGAATAAGGAGCAGGAGTTGTGACACATTTTTGTGTGAAAATCATTATAATGTAACATTAAATTATTATATATATATTATTATATCATAATCATTATAAATTAACATAATTATAATAGTTCTTCACGTTTACCTTCAATCAACTGAAGATTATTTGTCATATTTGTTTAGTAACAATCCAGAACTAATGAAGTCAAAGTCAATGTGTTTGTTTATGGATTTCAAGTTGTAAATAATGAGAAGATTCTAGTTTAAAGCGACATTGCAGTAGATAAATTTTGTTATTTAAGCATGTGTTAGATAACGTCTCCACATGTTATAGTTTCTTCACCCTATCATATGACGAGAATAATTCACACGTAAATAATACGTATTTAATGTGTTTATTTAATCTTAGGAGAGTTTGCACTTGCAGGGGCCATTTCTTACTATGATTTATCTGTGAACAGCAAAAGAGGTCTATTATTAGGATTATTCTTTATTAATACTTCAAAAGAGATTATTATTTTTGTTATTAACCAACTTCAAAAAGAAAGAAAGGGGTTTTCGTTCTCGGTTTGGGCTGTATGTATGTTTGTGCGCAATCGCGAGATAATCATCTCGCAATTTACTGTATTTTTTAATTTCTCGTATTAAGTGGCAATGCTTAGATAAAATGGCTCTAAGTTTAGGAGTGGGAGGTCGTTACGTCATAATGTGCTACAAAATGTGACACGCTGTGACGTCACACGATATTTTAAATTAATATATCTTCGAAAGTATTTAATTTAGTGAGATAAGAAAAAATACGTGTCTAAATTTTTAAAATAATGTACCAGACGGACATTAAAATAAAATTTAGGAAACTACCCTATTGTATGTTTTTAAACGTACCCACCACACAGGAGAAAATCCTAGTGTGGGGCAACGTTTATTATGTAGTGGGACTTACTCTAATTGTTGACGCATCAATATTGTTCACCCGGTTCTTGCATTGTGTTCGCCTCGGGAGTTGTCCCGTATATCGCACTACAGATGCACGCTACTAAATATTGTGACTGTACTAAATTGTATGTAACCTTAATTGGAGTCAGAAATTAAAAGTGTATTAATTAGTATTCGATTTATTTACTCTGGACACGACCCCTCACCATCTAAAATTAAAAAGACAGAAATAATAATAAATCAAAATCAATTATCCAATAACTAATTCAACTAATTCTCCATCTCTCTGTTACAGTGGGTCTACAACATCCTAGAAGGCGAGAGTGAGCAAGACAGAATAGTCTACGACAATAAGTGTGAAAGAGACGGGTTTGTGTTGGTACCGGACCTCAAGTGGGACGGAGTTACCAAGGAGACTCTGTACTTGTTGGCTATTGTGAGGAGGAGGGGCCTCAAGTCCTTGAGGGATCTGGATGATAGTCATCTGCCACTGTTAAAGAGGATTCGGGACGAGGGCAAGGTAAGACAATTATTTAATTATATTTTTGTTAATAAGGTAATTTCCTAAATTTTATTTTAATGTCCGTCTGATAAGTCATTTATTTCAATTAGACCAGGAAGATACTTTTGAATGTCAACCAAAAATTAAAGTGAAGCTATTTGCTCAGGTGTAGATTCCTATGGAGAAGAACGAGTAAGAAACTCCATAGGTTACTCTGTTTCAATCAGGTTTACAATACAATTTTCTAGTTACATAGTTTTGTTGTTTGGATTGTGCGAAAGATTAATTGAAAAAATTAGACACGTATTTTTTTCTTTGCTCTTCATTTTGTAGCACGTTGTGACGTAACGACCTTCCTCTCCTACCTACCTTTATTCTTACCCTGGCAATTAGGGTTATGCCTATTATGGTAATACTAGGAATGGCCGGTAACGCACTTGTAACGCCTCGGTGTTTCTGGTGTCCATGGGCGGCGTCGATTGCTTGCCATCAGGTGATCCGTCTGGTCGTTTACGTTTAAAATTGCAACTACACACTAAGAAATAGTTTCTAAGCCATCCCGTTTACCGTTTGATTGTGGCAAATCCTGTTCTTAAAAAGGTTTCATTTCAACAAGGGATTATTTATTGTATCAACCAAAAATGAATACATTTTCTTCTCTGTTCCAGAAAAAGATTTTCGAGAAGTACAACGTACCGGCGTCACAGCTGCGGGTCTATGTCCACTACCAGCCGTCGTTCTACCATCTCCACGTACACTTCACGTACCTACGCCACGAGGCGCCCGGCATCTATGTAGAGAAGTCACATCTACTCGACACTGTCATCGATAACATCGAAATGAAACCAGATTACTACCAAAAAGCTACACTACCCTTCACAATCCGTGAAATGGACAACATTTTTAACATCTACGAAACAAATGGGCATGTCCAGAGAATTAAACAAGATGTTGAATTAATCGATAAGTAATTTTTATATATTTTTTGTAAGTACAATTTTTATATAAAACAAAAATGTTGATTGAAGATGTTTTAATCGAGCTGCGCTCTCGATTGAGGAGCTGCAATGTATTCATTACAACTGGAGTCGACTTCACCAAAAACTGTAATTTGAAAATAAGTATACAGGCTAATTGTATTGTCTTGAATTATTATAAGGATAAGGATAGGGATAAGGATGTTAAGTCGAGAAGGGACAGTATTTCTTCCGAAGAGAGTCTTTCTGACTGGTGGTCGGACGAAGAAGGTGAAGTGAGCACTGTGATCCCATTCCAACAGTTTTGCAAAATCATACCAAATTCTATGTCATGTCTCAAAATAGAAAAGAGAACAATTTCATTCAGATTGCTGACTGAACCTAAGAATGGTGGCAACTTCTATAAAGAACTGTTATCCACGAATAATCCGGAGAGTTCTACCAAAGGAAATAGTTTAAAATTAAACTTGAATGCGGGTGAAGAATTGCAATTAACCTGCGCTAACTGTTGTAATGCAGTTTCCGTTAAACGCGTAAAATTCGACCGTATTTTAGAGCTACCAACGTCCAATTTGGACATGTCGGAGTGGTTTTGCCATGGAAATGGACATGGGCATAGCCATGGTCACAGCCACGAGGAGTCTCCACAGACATCCAACACCATAATTAAGCCAAACAAAAGTGATTTTCTTTATAGACTGACTTTCTTTGTTGTGAACAATACCATTTTATCGGATAAGATTAACAAATTCAACGCTACAAGACCTGTTTATCATTGCAACAGGTGTCTAGCGTGGCTGGGGCTCAAAGACAAGGATACTGTGAAACTATTCAACTCAGAAATTAGAATTACGCGCAATGATACTGAGTCAGTGATATTCGCACACAAAAATGAACAGGATATACACACAGATGATTTTATTTATACAATTGAAAGTATGACTAGAGAATTTAATCTCGGATTCCAGTATACAGTGATGTGTAAATTAGTTCTTGAATGTACCGTGTCAGCTGTGAAGAAACAATATTTGTTAATATGGGTGATGGATAAAGAACTACAAGTGCTCAGAAATGATGTTCTAACTTTCTTATTCGAAGACCGAATTCATTTGCAATCGACCTCAGTCACTAAAATTCTATTCAAAGTTGAATTGAGTATGAATGAAGAAGTTGAATCCTGGGTTTCTGACCCAGGAGTGGTCACCACTGAGATATCAAAAGGCATGTTCAATAATGGACTCGCCCATTTGGAGAAAATGTCCCAAAAAGTACCAGAACGCTTCCGTAATACCAACGGTTACTGTGTAAGCTATCTTAAAGTTTGAATAAATAAATTCGCAATTGTATTTTATGTTTTATTTTGAAAGAAGTTGTCTTATGTATGTTTTTTATTATTTAATTAAAATAATTAGTATTTAAATTCATGATCTCATATTTTTTATGGCATAAGCCGGTAAACAAGCAGTCGGATCACCTGATGATAAGCAATCTGCGTCGCCAATGGACACCTGGAACACCAGAGGCGTTACAAGTGCGTTACCGGCCTTTTGGGGATTAGGAGTTTGAGGATCGTTGGGGATTCAAGAATTAGGGAGATTGGGGAAGGGGAGGGTAATTGGGCTTCCGATAACCGCACTCACAGGACGAAACACAACACAAGCGTTGCTTCACGTCGGTTTTCTGCTCGGCCGTGGTATCACTCCGGTCGAGCCGGCCCATTCGTGCCGAAGCATGGCTCTCCCTCCCACATTTAAAATCTTCATCCTTGTGAATCGATCCATGGGTCGTGAAATCTCACACTTGGCGCCTGTACACTGGGTCGACTACACATTTGGCGCGGTGGCTGTGCAACTGGCTGCCCCGCAACGTGTCGGGTTCGATTCCCACACGGAACAACTTTGTGTGATCTACAGATTGTTGGTCCGGGTCTGGGTGTCACGTCTAGGTGAACTTATATGTTTGCTAACGCACCCACGATACATGAGAAAATCCTAGAGGAGGACAACAATTTTTTTGAAAAACAAAACAACCTAATTTCAATTTTTCTTTAATAACAGTTCAGTTTTGTATGAGATTTTCATAATCCAATTTGGCGACGAAGTTGAAGTACTCCACTGACAGAACTTACAAATAATGAAATTTATTTTTGGGGTATCTTTAAAACGCCAATAAATATTAAATTGGTGTGTATTTTAGTACTAATAAGGAAGATCGATAAACTTTTCTTTCACTCTTGGTACTCTATGCTACCCTTTTTTTAATGGGGAAAAATCATCTAATTACTTCTCTCGCCCGGCTGAAGCGAGAGGGAGTGTTAGACTTTAGGTTTCTGTTTCCTCCTTAGCTAGCATGACTAATCCCGCAAAAGGAGACGGTATCCTAGTCCCCCTCGCTGCGCATCATGACCTGCACTAGGCCCGGACGCGAGAGGTCGCCGTCGCCGATCACATCCCCGAGGACACGGTGCTGCTCAGCCCACACAGGTCACACCGCCACCGTATGCTCCACCGTGTCCTCGGGGCGGTTCTCACAGTGATGATACCCGGGCGTTTCCTGCCACCTATCCGAAACAGGAACCTAGGTACCGAAACTTTCGTGTCCGGTAAGCATCTGCGTCAGGCGGTAGGTGAGGACGCTGTAGCTCCGCTATTTGAAGGCAACTGACAGCTGTCTGGACTTACTGATTTAAACTCTTATACAATTTGTATTCATTTGTATGCTTAAAATAGGCTGATCATAGCGCACTTTAATCTAAAAATGTACCTATGTATCACAAATGAAGGTTTCATTTCAAAAGGATTTAGCAGCGGCTAACGATGTCGCTGCCATAGCTAGTACTAGTGCTACTGTACCTACAACTTCTACGCAAATGTCAGCAATACAAAAAGTACAGCAAAAGCCATACGCCGAAAATGACGTGGGACAATTCCTCGGTCGTACATTTTATATGAGTACAGCACAAAATCTTCAAATCTTAAAAAAAGCTGTTGGGAGGCTCCAAGTTACGACTTTGGAAAGGATGCAGTATTTCGAAAAAGAAAATTTAAGCATTCCTGGCTCGCGGAATATGCTTCGTGGCTGGCATATTCAGCCAAACTAAAGGCGCTCTCTGTATACATTGCGTTTTATTCCCTCCAGCGACCAGTAGTAAAAAAATAGGTTCATTCTCACTGCGACCATTCGTCAGGTACAAAGATATGAACGAATTCGCCAAAACACATGTAGCGTCTCAGTGTCACAAGACCTCAATCACGTCCGTTAAAAATTTTGTTCAGAATATACCCTTGGATGTGCAGCTAGTCAGTGCAGATGCAAAATAATGTGCACCGAGCACATGCATAATACACGAAAATAAAAAAATTGTAACCTCTATAATTGATACGATTTTTTTGTGGTACGCACGATGTGCCATTAAGAGGAAAGGAACTTCATGAAGGTCTATTTGAAGACCTAATCAAACTCAAGATTGAGTCTGGTGATAAAATCTTAAAAGAACATGCAGAATCATGTGCAAAAAATGCAACATATATGTCGCATCAGATTCAAAATGAAATTATAAACATTTCTGGGGATATTATCGGAGATGATATCATTGACTGCGCGAAAAAATAAGAGAGATACAGTATTTTGGCAGATGAAAGCTGCGACATAGCAGGCAAAGAGCAATTATCTATTTGCGTCAGATTTTTCGACGAAGAAAAAATGGCGATTCGTGAAGAAATATTACGGTTCGTCGAATTGATAGCCATGGACGCCAAATCTATTGCGTCTGCCATACCTAATTTCATCACAAACGTGAATCTGGATCCAGAAAAGTGTGTTGGGCAAGGCCGGGTCGGGTGCTCGAAAGAGGCAAATATAAAAAAGCCCAATTTCCACTGCGCCAGCCATAAATTGAATTTAGTCATGATTTCAATCAAATGGCCTCTGTATGTAATGCGATCGGCACAATTAAAGAAATAATAAATTTCTTCCAAGAATCGGCTCAACGCCGTAAGCTCGTGTCAAACATTCCAATGCTCTGCGAAATGCGCTGGTGATACGCGAAAATATAAGTGCATTGCTATCTTTAAAGTAAATTATATTAAAATGATCACGGCACTTTTGACGCTTTCGCAAGAAAGCAACAGGGCAACAAGGAAGACGGCTTATCAGCTTTACTGCGCTGCTATCAATTCCGAATTTATTGTATCTGTTTGCCTCATTGTGAAATCTGTGTATGCTAAGTGTGCACAGAACAAAGGTCTCAGAATCGAAAAATAAATTTTTCGAAGAAGTGCTTAACAGGTTCTGCCAGAACACACGCCGTCTTCTCTTGAAGTAATATTAGTCATACATATACTTAGTTAAAACTTTAATTTATAAACACCGAGTATTCATAAATAAAACTATAAAATCTGTCCTGTGTGTGATTGTTTATTTTCTGTACCTGAAAATATAAAGCTCTCAAATTAAGAGATTAACAAGTTTGAGATTAACGGCTCAAGGTACAAAAAATCGGAGGGCCACCGCCCTCCCCCGGGGATAGCTTGACTGCTGCCCCACCTTTGTTAGTAGGTGCCATTGCTGGAATAGGTACTGTCATTTTTATAGGTGCCTGAAGCGAAATACTTCTTTTAATCTGAACCTTAGAAGTAGCACAAAATGCCCGGTATATGGCAATAGGCTTACCTCCTATCACATGGCACTTAATATACTTAATATACTTGTAACTCTACGTAGGTATTCCTCTCGGGAGGTGATAATACAACAAATTTCCTACAAAATCAGCCCTAAGGTCCCTGGTCCGAAAGTACCTAGTTTTTCAACATTTTTGGTTCTGTTTTTATAATAACTATCGTGAGACATACATACAAAGGGGTTCTTCCTCATGAGCAGCGTGCGCGACATCGTCGCGACCGCGCACGCTGCTCTGTTCGCAGTCAAGAAAGATTAAGTACGGGGTTCCACAAGGAAGTGTACTAGGACCTTTGTTATTTTTGATTTATATTAATGACCTTCCAAAACACCTTAGTCACCCAACTGTACTGTTTGCTGATGATAACACGATAATTATTAAGTCAGATAAATCTTACAATTATGAACAAGAAGTAAACAATATTTTAAAACAGACAATAACGTGGTTAGATTCCAATAATCCTTACTTTATATTATAAATCGGAAAGTGAGTTTGTTTGTTTGTTCCACTTTAACGCCTTAACTACTAAACCGATTGCTTTGAAATTTTGCAGATGTAAACTTAGAAGTCCGGATTAAATAATAGGGTACTTTTTATCCCGGAAAAATGTGATATTCCCGAGGGAAAACAAAAGAATTGGTATAGATGGCGCTGTGTGTATTGGTATAGGCTACTTTTATCTTTTTGTGACGCGAGCGAAGCCGCGGGTAAAAGCTAGTTTACATATAAATCTAGGAAAAACATATTTAATGCATTTCTATCAGCGTCAATTACCACTACAACTAAATAATAATTACAATGGCTCGACGATCACAGAAGTGAATACTACCAGATTCTTGGGTTTAGTGATCGATAGCAATTTAACTTGGAAACCGCATATCGAATCGGTGTGTAAGAAAATAAACAGTTTTGCATATGCTCTTTATAAATTATCACGTTCAGCTAACCAGGAGACAGTGATCACCGCTTATCACAGTTACGTGGAATCTATACTAAGGTATGGGCTGATTTTTTGGGGTAACTCCACCGATAAAAATGACGTATTCATAGCACAAAAAAGATGTGTACGCGCTACACGTGGCCTACGTCCTAGGGACAGTTGTAAGCCACATTTTCAAGACTTCAAACTGTTAACGTTTCCATGTTTATTTATTTACGAAGTAGCCACCTTCGTTAAATGTAACAGATGTCTATTTGAATTAAAGCCCCCACGCGATTCCAGGTTGAGGCAAAAGGATACTGGTGACCTGTGACCTTCAAGTAGTACACGGTAATACAGCGCTTTTTAGTAAGAGTATTTTCAGGATTGCTGCACAAATATATAATAGTTTACCTAAGGAAATCAAAGCACTAGACTTACCTCTTTTCAAAAAAAAAACTAAGGCAGTTTTTGAAAACTAAATGTTATTATAATTTAACCGAATTTATGACTGATGACAGAGGAAATCTAAAATGTAAACCTAGTCATGTAGTTACCCATTAACTAGTTAATACCTACTTGAATGTTATTATACCTCTAATAATTGAGTATACGGCTGATAGAGTAAATATTCAACACAAATAATAGTTTTATTAAAACTTGATGTTAATACAGGAATAAAGTTGAATTTGTGGAGACTACTATTATAATTAAAATTAAAATTAGCT